ACACACATACACTCATACTTAGCCAATTATATATAGTAGGATAGGAAATCGGACGCAAATAGATAGTGGATGTTCACAAGTGATACCAATCAATAGCTGTTGATAAGGAAGCTAAGAATTTGAGAACCCGTTTGTTAAGTCTGTTGTAGCCTTCGTGGTGACCGTCGAACCCTAACTCCTATACGTTGGAGGTGGGACAGGAAGAGCGATGGCGTGCAGTATGAACTTGTTACAAATGATTAAGGGCGTCCGAATGCAAATGAACTTCTAACCTACTCTGATGAAAATTTGCCATTGGTCCAAGTCCACATGCACAAAGCGGCTCAATATCCTTCGCTATTTCGGTGAAAAGTTGGAATGGCACATACTTCACGTGCTGAGAACCTGATTTATTTCAACAGAGTGCAAATCCATGTCACTACTTTTATCAGTATAGTTGCCGCTCGTTACCGCTTTCGTTCACCTCAACACATCGCCAGCTTGATCGCTTGCTAGTGATAATTGCAACAGAGTTAAATTTTCATTGGTATTTAACTTCCAATCACATTACTCACCTTCGAGGGAGTTATGACGGAGCCACGCTCCGCGACGCAGAAAATCCCTCGCAAAGCGTCGAAATTTCAATAATTGGGAGCAGTTTCGTATAATAACAAAAATGAAGGAAAGGTGAAACAGCAGCGCACGACTTTGAGGTTGGATGATGAGCTCTGTACGATCGAAGGGTATCATCAAGTGAAAGGGGCTTGTGGTGCAGCAATTTGTTCCTTATACAGAAATTTCCATTTTTTGCACGGGAGGAGGGAAATCGCAAAGGTTCGTGAACCTTGCGATTTCGCTTTTGCTTTTACACAATCAAGGAGCTCCCCTCTCCTGCGAAAAATTTGACTACCTCAGGTAATATGATCTACCATCACATGCTCACACGATCCAGTATCAATGAAGACCCCTAGTCTTTTTTCGAAGAATTTTTCCCGAGAATTCAGAACGAGAAAACAACCAACGTGACATAAACGACAGTAGATTTTCCAATTGTTTCCTCAACAAAATCGAATGATAATGGTGATAAGTATGTATACTAGTCATAAACTATTGGGTTGTCCAAAAAATCCTGCGACACTTTGAACAGGTACCTTTAGACCTTCTCAGTTCTTTTAGCATTTGACTACTGTTGTTTGTCTTTGAAGGTTCCTACAGAAGAATATATAAAGACTTCCTGGTTTTACAGCTCCGAATTTCTATCTGAATCAAGCTATCTTTTGACCTATTTTATTTTTCGAGCTCCTATGGAAGCCACTCTCTTTGTGTCGTTGCAGCTAGCATCTGTGCTGTATTCAGGAGGTAACTCGTTCAGCAGACCATAGTGTCCCGTTGTCCCTAAGGCTTCGCAACCGGAGATATTTGACTCAAAGTAAAGCACTGCTCTGGTCGGCTGTAGGTGGTGAATGGTGAGCGTTTACTCAACTTCCCAGAGGCGCAGCCGATTGCTACCAGTCGTGAGTTAGCAACAACGCTGAGGTGCACTCATGACAATTGTCGAGGAGCCCCACGATCTTGGTTACAGGACAACATGTTCGCAATGAGTGACACATAGGGTTGCCGTCAGTCTGGGGAGGCGAACTTGAGTGAGGTAGAGGTTTCTCATTCTTCCTTCGCATCAAAGAATCTCTTGACAAAAATGATGGTTAATGAAGATAGCTCAAGCCATTGAGGAAACTGTAAGCATAAGCTCTATAGGGTTCGACTGAGAGGGAAGCTGCCTGAAGGAACCTCCGTAGAGAAGAATTTATAGTGTTTCTGATAAATTGCAAACTGATTCTTCACAGAAAGCTGTTGGATGCTGCACCGCAGTTGTCGGCTTCAATTACCTCTAAACTTCAGGGCCGAAGGAAGTTAACCCGGAACTGCTCAATGTGTTACCTCACCCTACGAATATCTGCATGTGAAGAAGGATTAAATATCAAAAGATCATGGATTTCGATTGAGAAATTTTGCAGTAATTGACTTAGTCGCCCGACCTAGCCAATTCTCATTATTACTCGACTAGCGCACAGAATCGTCATCCAGGAGATAAAAATCCGATCCGGCAAAATGGATTTCCGTAAACCTAGCGTAGCCGGGCTATTGCATTAGGCGGCATGCACGCTTTTAAAGTATCTCAGTGATTTCTTCAAATAAAAAGTTATTATGGTGGCGATACGCAGTGTCTTCCAGCAGCTCATCAAGACCC